TGATAATGTTGCATATGTCAAAAAAAGCATAATTGCCCTATAACTTCTGTATTTTTTTTTAACGAAACGTAGATTCCGAACGCGAATTAACCATTCGAAATTTAAATATTGCATGTTTCTTTAATTGAATCTTTGGAATTGATAAACGTGTTACATTTTTCTACGTAATTTTAAATTATCAGTTTTTTTCAGTCTGATCGTGAAAACTTTGCCAGATATTAAACCTAAGAAATTAACGATGATGAAAACTGTCCTGAGCTACTTTATCGGTAAGATAAAATAGTAAGTAGCCTGATAGTAACAGTAAAACAGGCTGAAAAAACGAATGAATCAGAGAACAACGTATTAAAATTAACGATTTCAAGTTTCTTACCTTTTTTTCGGACGATGTAATTATACAAGAACGGATTTTCTTCTTAATTCTGGGCGAGTAACGTTCTATAAAGTTATGAAAGAATTGATAAGTGTTGAACTTATTACATATTTATTAACTATTAGAAACAGTCTTGTTAGTTTACTAATAAAAACACAAAATTGTAGAATGCAGATACGTTAACCAGCGGTTAACGGTTTCATGGCATACAAAACACAGTTTTATTGATGAATTACCTTTTTTAACGAATCCTAAATAAGGATTTATTAATCAAATATCAGTTTCAATGAATACAGAATGTGTATTTAAGAACTAATCGCATAGATATTAAGTATTAAATGGCCGGATTTATAATTGATAGTAACATCACTTAATAGTTAAATTTCACTTATAACGAAACCATATTAAAAATTAAATTTCAATTAAGTTGACTATTTAAGGAATTATTTAACTCAAGAAAATAATAATTAACCTTGTATGTTATTTTTTCCATTTCGTATTACATCCGTCTCTTGGTCCACCGTTTAATTGTAACCCAGTTTCGATCATAGTGATGTCTTGACTCTTGTATCGTTCATGTATTTCCAAATCATCGTTTAACCACAACATTTTACCAGATTCTTTCGAATTTGGCCAAACAACGTTTAGTAAAGTATCGTTGGTACCATTTGGAGTTGGATTTCTAGTAAACAAGTGAATATTAATCGAAGTTTTCCACTTACGACATTGCTTGCTACTAGACAATCCATTTTGGTTTCTAACCCGTATTTAATAAAATTCGCCCACATACGTGTCATCCTTTTTTGTAACAGCGTCATCTTGTTCTTTGCATTGGGATTTACTTGGGATAAATCTGAATAAAATATCATTTCTAATTCATCACCATGTCCAGCACCTATAACAATTATTATGATTAATAAAAAAAAAAATAAAATAAAAAGATTGAATAAGTAAAAGTTACAAATTTCTCTTATTTATTGCCAAAAAATCAACTAAAGATTTCTTATGGTACTATTATTGTGGAACGGGCTCGGTACAGATATTAATATTTAAAAATATTCCAGTATCCAATATTATTTGTCATCAATTTTACATGTAAAACGATTTTTTCAATATGATAATGTAAAAACTATTGTCTACGAAGCATCTATATTTAATGAACATTACCTCTGGAGAAAAATTCTTACTGACTGTGATCTCACCTAAAGATTTCCAGAGATTTTCGAATGGATGCAATAGTACTTCTAAACTGTAGAAAATTGAAAATACTTAATAATAAATTTATGATGATCCATGTAAAACACTTTTGATATTTTCCAAGTATCTAGGTAACTAATACTAATTTAAGTAAATATCATCCTTTCTAAAGAACTTTATAGGCAGGCCATGATGTTATTAATTATCAGTTACTCGATCAATAAAATACAGTCGTTCTATATTTAACCTTGAATCGAGCAAAAACAAACAGCTCTCAAATCGTAGCAAACTTCTTTCAAATTTAACTTGTCGTTTTGATCTTTATATATGCGCGTATAAACTTGTTCTTTTAGAGAAAAGACATTTTTATTAGGTCAGTCCAAAAGTTCGTGAGCATTTTGCTACATACATACATGCTACTAATGCGCACGAACTTTTGGACAGACCTAATATTTATGATTCTCATATTGCTAATTACTACTGTTTAATATAGTAATTAATTAGTCCATATGATGTCAACTTTCAAAGGATTAGATTCATTAAGACATAGGTGAGCAATTGCAAATGAGGAATAGACAGACTGATAGTAGCCTCGCAGTAGTGTTATTTGGTGGTGATATTTCGGAATAATGAAATTATATTTAGGAATAATGAAAGATGGAGGTATATACCAATATTAGATAAGGAGGACATACCGAAAATGCCGCATTTAAAGGTTATTAATCAAAACCGTAGAAAAATGGATTACGGACACCTTTTTTACAAAGTGTATGTCACTCTACAACACTAGATTATTTTTTCTCTAAGATCATGTAAATGATTGTCTACGAGACACCTGTGGTTAATGAGTATACCTCTTGGCAAAAATCCTTATTCGCTGTTTTAAACATTTCCAGAAATGTTAGAAAGGATCAAACATAGTCTCTCGTGCAGGCTGTTAAACCTAAGGATTCATTGATGCTGGAGAATGCTACTTTTGATCATCTGTTATTAACGTATTCATCTTATCATGTTATGATATAATGGAGTAGGTAGTAGTAAGTAATGATCTAATATATAAACAACTACGTTCTCATATTCAAATAGTAATGACCGGGATATTGTCAGATCAGAATTTTTTATTCGATATAGATGCTAGTATCCTTATTATTCATATCTTAAATTTTGGTGACATCTAAGACTAATACTCTTAATGTATAAATCTCAAGCCATACATATACAATATATAAAATGGATATATAATAAAACTTACCATCCATACCAATGCCAAATAGATTCTTGTGTAGCGATTTGTTATGAAAGAAATCATATCGATAATAATAAATGGGATCGTCGAATTTTGCCATTAATTTTTGCTTGTAATCTATAGAAGATATAATTAGAATTTCCGTAGCAGTCTAGAAAGTATTATAACAGAGTTAATTTATTCGAAATCGTACCTATTTCTTAATTTAACTTACTTTTATGATTTGACGTAAGGTGGTATTCGTTATACCATACTCTATATTTGGCATGTCGATTTTTGTAATTCCAAGTTGTAAAGCGTATGTCCAAGAAAATTTCACAGAATCGAGAATACCTTCCATTGCTATAAATTCAAAATAATAATATAAAGTTAATGTAAATAGAATGAATAGCAAGAATACTCACTATCTATGAATGAAATAATTTCGTCTTTAGTATAGCCTAACATATGAGATCCGTGATTATAATTTCCAGATCTGTATTTCTTTAACGAACATTCGGTTAAGAACCAATCTGGACCGTAATTTGGATTTTCCAGAGTTGGCTTCAAGGGAATATTCAGCTAAAACATTGAGCATATGAAAATTTCTATTAAATAGAAAAATAAATGGAATAATTTCTGAAAGTAATTTTTACTTTCGTTGTGTTTGAAATTGTTCTAGTCAAATTTTCTACATCGACTTTATAATAAAATTCAAGTAACTCGTCAACGTTCATTGCTGTTGAATCAAGTTCCTTAGCGAATTCGTAAGCTGTTTGTGTTGCATCTTCTGGAGTACTGAATGCATAGTAAGCTAATGACACCCCACTCATAGCGATTGAACTACGGAATAGACCTGTAATTAGAATGAAATTGAAGATAAGTTGAGTGTTAAATAAATTTTGATTTTGAACATAAAAGGAAATAATTGGATACCTTTCGATTTCTCTGAAAGTATATGAAAATCTACACTAACGCCCCCAGAACTTTCACCAACTATCGTTACTTTGTTTGGATTACCACCAAAGTTTGCTATGTTGTCGCGAACCCATTTTAGACCAAGATTTTGATCTTTTAGGCCTGCATTGCCAGTTGCATTTTGATGTTGCAACGCTAAAAATCCTATGCGAAATATTATTAAAACTGATTTGTTAATTTGCTCGTTATGTTATTACTTATTTAATTAGTATTTCATTTTGAAAGTGTTGATAATCGGCCAAAGCTATTTGTCATAATGATATAGTAATACCGAATTTTTTCTCCATTAACATATTTATTCTATCAACTATTCTTAATCGTAACTTTCGTCAAGTTAGTTAGAACTTAGTTGGACTAGATGTCTTGTTGATTCATTGTTATTATCTTATTAATGAAAGAATTAACGTAGTTACGCGTATATTCGTCGTCATTTTCTAAAAGCTTAGAAAAATTTGTATTTCATTTTTCAACATTAATTTTATCTACCGATTTTCCAATTACTGGATAAATTAGTTATCGTACCAAGAGCACCCAACCGGTAATTAACAGTGACGACTACGATGTCTTCTTCGATCAGATAATCAGGAGAGTAATAAAATTTCGAAGCTGCCCCAAAAACGAATGCTCCTCCATGAATCCAATACATAACAGCTTTAAGATTAGTGTCTTTCCCATCATTAGGAAGCTATTGTAAAATAAAATTTATTAATCCAATCAAAATAAGTGACTATTATGATTGTAATCCCTATGGGTTAAAATATTATAAATGAGTAGTGTAGTAATATTCTTTTACTTAATGATCGTAAAAGTGGAGAAATATTTCTTGCTATTAATTTAACATGGCATTATGAATGGATATGATAATACACTTTGTTATGCAGATTGTTTACAAGAATATATTTATAAATTGCTTTTGTTGAATATATCGTTTTGATAGTTAACATGTTAAATAACATAAAGATGGAAAATCACCTGCGGCGTATAGACATTGAGATTCAGACAATCCTCTTGGCCGATGAATTTGTTATTATTCATTTGTGGACAAATAGGACCATCCTTTGTAGCATCGAACTCTTTAGTCCATGGATCTATCTCGACAGGTGGCTAGAGGAAATTCTCAATCGTTTTGGTCGAATTCATGTTGAATCTTTCTCTCTCTCCCTCCCTCTCTCTCACCCTTTTTCCCTTAATTACGATATACTTACTCTAAATCGAAGATGTCCAATTGGTGGTTTGCCGTAAGGGATACCTCTGTAGGAATGATATTTCTTAGATTCTCTGATGGTCGTCAAAACGAGACCCTTCACCGGTCCTTTGGTAGTTTGTATCACTGGTGAGAATTCAGTTGCCGAGGACCAACTCAAGAAGAGAAAAATGTAGAGCAAAGACATATTGTACATCCTCGATGTTAACTCAGCAAAAATAGACAACTAATGGCTATTTTGTAGGTTAACTACTAAAAGTAATTTAGAAAATGCTAATGTCGAACTGGTGGGTATTGTTATCGTAACAGTAAATATATATTCATACACGTATTATCATTTATATATGTCCATTATTGTGTGACTTGACACCTATCAGAATTTCGTAATACATTTCAACGTTCTAGCATAAAAATATAGCATATAATTTCATGGAATAAGTTATTTACAGATTGCTACAATCTCATGATAGGCGTATGAACAAACTTTATTGATATCTTAAAACTTTTTAGTCGTTAATAAATTTATTTCTTAAGTACAAAAAACAATCACATGGTCAAGTAATGAAATCATTGACCAGTACCGTAGCATGTCATAAATATAATATATCAAAAGGATTCTGTGTTTATTCAGTTCTACAGTTTATATATCGAACGTATCGATAATTAATCAAAATTGATAATGTTGCATATGTCAAAAAAAGCATAATTGCCATATAACTTCTCTATTTTTTTTTAACGAAACGTAGATTCCGAACGCGAATTAACCATTCGAAATTTAAATATTGCATGTTTCTTTAATTGAATCTTTGGAATTGATAAACGTGTTACATTTTTCTACGTAATTTTAAATTATCAGTTTTTTTCAGTCTGATCGTGAAAACTTTGCCAGATATTAAACCTAAGAAATTAACGATGATGAATACTGTCCTGAGCTACTTTATCGGTAAGATAAAATAGTAAGTAGCCTGATAGTAACAGTAAAACAGGCTGAAAAAACGAATGACTCAGAGAACAACGTATTAAAATTAACGATTTCAAGTTTCTTACCTTTTTTTCGGACGATGTAATTATACAAGAACGGATTTTCTTCTTAATTCTGGGCGAGTAACGTTCTATAAAGTTATGAAAGAATTGATAAGTGTTGAACTTATTACATATTTATTAACTATTAGAAATAGTCTTGTTAGTTTACTAATAAAAACACGAAATTGTAGAATGCAGATACGTTAACCAGCGGTTAACGGTTTCATGGCATGCAAAACACAGATTCATTGATGAATTACCTTTTTTAACGAATCCTAAATAAGGATTTATTAATCAAATATCAGTTTCAATGAATACAGAATGTGTACTTAAGAACTAATCGCATAGATATTAAGTATTAAATGGCCGGATTTATAATTGATAGTAACATCACTTAATAGTTAAATTCCACTTATAACGAAACCATATTAAAAATTAAATTTCAATTAAGTTGACTATTTCAGGAATTATTTAACTCAAGAAAATAATAATTAACCTTGTATGTTATTTTTTCCATTTCGTATTACATCCGTCTCTTGGTCCACCGTTTAATTGTAACCCAGTTTCGATCATAGTGATGTCTTGACTCTTGTATCGATCATGTATTTCCAAATCATCGTTTAACCACAACATTTTACCAGATTCTTTCGAATTTGGCCAAACAACGTTTAGTAAAGTATCGTTGGTACCATTTGGAGTTGGATTTCTAGTAAACAAGTGAATATTAATCGAAGTTTTCCACTTACGACATTGCTTGCTACTAGACAATCTATTTTGGATTCTAACCCGTATTTAATAAAATTTGCCCACATACGTGTCATCCTTTTTTGTAACAGCGTCATCCTGTTCTTTACATTCGGATTTACTTGGAATAAATCTGAATGAAATATCATTTCTATTTCATCAACATGTGCAGCACCTATAACAATTAAATATTATGATTAATAAAAAAAAAATAAAATAAAAAGATTGAATAAGTAAAAAGTTACAAATTTCTCTTATTTATAGCTAAAAGATCAACTAATGATTTCTTATGGTACTATAATTGTGAAACGGGCTCGGTACAGATATTAATATTTAAAAATCCAGTACCCAATATTATTTTTCATCAATTTTACATATAAAACGATTTTTTAATGTGATCATGTAAAAACATTTGTCTACGAAGCACTTATATTTAATGAAGAATACCTCAGGAGAAAAATTCTTACTGACTGTGATCTCACCTAAAGATTTCCAGAGATTTTCGAATGGATGTAATAGTACTTCTAAACTTTAGAAAATTGAAAGTACTTAATAATAAATTTATGATGATCCATGTAAAACACTTTTGATATTTTCCAAGTATCTAGGTAACTAATACTAATCTAAGTAACTGTCATCCATTCTAGAGAGCTTTATAGGCAGGCCATGATGTTACTAATAATCAGTTACTCGATCAATAAAATACAGTCGTTCAATATTTAACCTTGAATCGAGCAAAAACAAACAGCTCTCAAATCGTAGCAGATATCTTCCAAAGTTACCTTTCGTTTTGATCTTTATATATGCCCGTATAAACTTGTTCTATTAGAGAAATGACATTTTTATTTTTGATTCTCATATTGCTAATTACTACTGTTTAATATAGTAATTAATTAGTTCATGTGGTGTCAACTTTCAAAGGATTAGATCCATTAAGACATAGGTGAGCAATTGTGACATACAAATGTGGAATAAACAGACAGATAGTAGCCCCGCAGTAGAGTTATTTGGTGGTGATATTTCGGAATAATGAAATTATATTTAGGAATAATGAAAAAAGGAGATATACACCAATATTAGATAAGTAGGACATACCGAAAATGACGCATTTAAAGTTATTAGTCAACACCGTAGAAAAATGGATTACGGACACACTTTATATAAAGTGTATGTCACTCTACGACACTATTATTATCTTTTATCTAATATATATTATTTTTTCTCTAAAATCATGTAAATGATTGTCTACGAGACACCTGTGGTTAATGAGTATATCTCTTGGCAAAAATCCTTATTTGCCGTTTTAAACATTTCCAGAATTGTTAGAATGGATTCAATATAGTCTCTCGTGCAGGCTGTTAAACCAAAGGATTCATAGATGCTGGAGAATGCTATTTTTGATCATCTGTTATTAACGTATTCATCTTATCATGTTATGATATAATGGAGTAGGCGGTAATAAATAATGATCTAATATATAAACAACTACGTTCTCATATTCAAGTATTAATTGATCGGAATATTTTCAGATCAGAATTTCTTATTCGATATTGCTGCTAGTATTCCTATTATTCATCTCTTAACTTTTAGTAACATCTAAGACTAATACTCTTAATGTATAAATCTCAAGCCATACATATAAAATATATAAAATGGATATATAATAAAACTTACCGTCCATATCAATGCCAAATAGAATTTTGTGTAGCGATTTGTTATAAAAGAAATCATATCGATAATAATAAATGGGATCGTCGAATTTTGCCATTAATTTTTGCTTGTAATTTATAGGAGATATTTGTGTAATTTCCGTAGCAGTCTAGAAAGTATTATAACACAGTTAATTTATTCAAAATCGTATCTATTTCTTAATTTAACTTACCTTTATGATTTGACGTAAGGTGGCATTCGTTATACCATACTCTATATTTGGCATGTCGATTTTTGTAATTCCAAGTTGTAAAGCGTATGTCCAAGAAAATTTCACAGAATCGAGAATACCTTCCATTGCTATAAATTCAAAATAATAATATAAAGTTAATGTAAATAGAATGAATAGCAAGAATACTCACTATCTATGAATGAAATAACTTCGTCTTTGGTATAGCCTAACATATGAGATCCGTGATTATAATTTCCAGATCCGTATCTCTTTAACGAACATTCGGTTAAGAACCAATCTGGACCGTAATTTGGATTTTCCAGAGTTGGCTTCAAGGGAATATCCATCTAAAACATTGAACATATGAAAATTTCTATTAAATAGAAAAATAAATGGAATAATTTCTGAAAGTAATTTTTACTTTCGTTGTGTTTGAAATTGTTCTAGTCAAATTTTCTACATCGACTTTATAATAAAATTCAAGTAACTCGTCAACGTTCATTGCTGTTGAATCAAGTTCCTTAGCGAATTCGTAAGCTGTTTGTGTTGCATCTTCTGGAGTACTGAATGCATAGTAAGCTAATGACACCCCACTCATAGCGATTGAACTACGGAATAGACCTGTAATTAGAATGAAATTGAAGATAAGTTGAGTGTTAAATAAATTTTGATTTTGAACATAAAAGGAAATAATTGGATACCTTTCGATTTCTCTGAAAGTATATGAAAATCTACACTAACGCCCCCAGAACTTTCACCAACTATCGTTACTTTGTTTGGATTACCACCAAAGTTTGCTATGTTGTCGCGAACCCATTTTAGACCAAGATTTTGATCTTTTAGGCCTGCATTGCCAGTTGCATTTTGATGTTGCAACGCTAAAAATCCTATGCGAAATATTATTAAAACTGATTTGTTAATTTGCTCGTTATGTTATTACTTATTTAATTAGTATTTCATTTTGAAAGTGTTGATAATCGGCCAAAGCTATTTGTCATAATGATATAGTAATACCGAATTTTTTCTCCATTAACATATTTATTCTATCAACTATTCTTAATCGTAACTTTCGTCAAGTTAGTTAGAACTTAGTTGGACTAGATGTCTTGTTGATTCATTGTTATTATCTTATTAATGAAAGAATTAACGTAGTTACGCGTATATTCGTCGTCATTTTCTAAAAGCTTAGAAAAATTTGTATTTCATTTTTCAACATTAATTTTATCTACCGATTTTCCAATTACTGGATAAATTAGTTATCGTACCAAGAGCACCCAACCGGTAATTAACAGTGACGACTACGATGTCTTCTTCGATCAGATAATCAGGAGAGTAATAAAATTTCGAAGCTGCCCCAAAAACGAATGCTCCTCCATGAATCCAATACATAACAGCTTTAAGATTAGTGTCTTTCCCATCATTAGGAAGCTATTGTAAAATAAAATTTATTAATCCAATCAAAATAAGTGACTATTATGATTGTAATCCCTATGGGTTAAAATATTATAAATGAGTAGTGTAGTAATATTCTTTTACTTAATGATCGTAAAAGTGGAGAAATATTTCTTGCTATTAATTTAACATGGCATTATGAATGGATATGATAATACACTTTGTTATGCAGATTGTTTACAAGAATATATTTATAAATTGCTTTTGTTGAATATATCGTTTTGATAGTTAACATGTTAAATAACATAAAGATGGAAAATCACCTGCGGCGTATAGACATTGAGATTCAGACAATCCTCTTGGCCGATGAATTTGTTATTATTCATTTGTGGACAAATAGGACCATCCTTTGTAGCATCGAACTCTTTAGTCCATGGATCTACCTCGACAGGTGGCTAGAGGAAATTCTCAATCGTTTTGGTCGAATTCATGTTGAATCTTTCTCTCTCTCCCTCCCTCTCTCTCACCCTTTTTCCCTTAATTACGATATACTTACTCTAAATCGAAGATGTCCAATTGGTGGTTTGCCGTAAGGGATACCTCTGTAGGAATGATATTTCTTAGATTCTCTGATGGTCGTCAAAACGAGACCCTTCACCGGTCCTTTGGTAGTTTGTATCACTGGTGAGAATTCAGCTGCCGAGGACCAACTCAAGAAGAGAAAAATGTAGAGCAAAGACATATTGTACATCTTCGATGTTAGCTCAGCCAAAATAGATAGCTAATGGCTATCTGGTTGGTTAACTACTAAAAGTAATTTAGGAAATGCTAAGGTGGACCTGGTGGGTATTGTTATCGTAACAATAAATATATATGCATACACGCGTTATCATTTATATATGTCCATTATTGTGTTACTTGACAACTGTCAGAACTTCGTAATGAATTTTTACTTATTAGCATAAAAATTTTGCATAAAATTTCATGGAATAAGTTATTTACAGATTGCTACAATCTCATGATAAGCATATGGACAAACTTTATTGATATCTTAAAACTTTTTAGTCGTTAATAAACTCGTTTCTTAAATACAAAAAGCAATCACATTGTCAAGTAATGAAATCATTGACCAGTACCGTAGCATGTCATAAATATAATATATCAAAAGGATTCTGTGTTTATTCAGTTCTACAGTTTATATATCGAACGTATCGGTAATTAATCAAAGTTGATAATGTCGCATATGTCAAAAAATGCATTATTGCCCTATAACTACTGTATTTTTTTTTAACGAAACGTAGATCCCGAACGCCATTTAACCATTCGGAATTTAAATATTGCATGTTTCTTTAATTGAATCTTTGGAATCGATAAGCGTGTTACATATTCCTACGCAATTTTAAATTATCAGTTGTTTTCAGTCTGAGCGTGAAAACTTTGCCAGATATTAAACCTAAGAAATTAACGATGATGAATACTGTCCTGTGCTACTTTATCGGTAAGATATAATAGTAAGTAGCCTGATAGTAACAGTTAAACAGGCTGAAAAAACGAATGAATCAGAGAACAACGTATTCAAATTAACGATTTCAAGCCTCTTTCCTTTTTTTCGGACGATGTAATTATTTATGAACGGATTTTCTTCTTAATTCTGGGCGAGTAACGTTCTATAAAGTTATGAAAGAATTGATAAGCGTTCAACTTATTACGTATTTATTAACTATTAGATACTGTCTTGTTAGTTTACTAATAAAAACACAAAATTGTAGAATGCAGATACGTTAACCAGCGGTTAGTGGTTTCATGGAATGAAAACACAGATTTATTGATGAATTACTTTTTTTAACGAATCCTAAATAAAGATTTATTAATCAAATATCGGTTTCAATGAATACAGAATGTGTACTTAAGAGCTAATCGCATAGATATTAAGTAATAAATGGCCGGATTTACAATTGATGGTAACATCACTTAATAATTAAATTCCACTTATAATGATACCATATTAAAAATTAAATCTCAATTAAGTTGACTATTTCAGAAATTATTTAACTCAAGAGAATAATAATTAATCTTGTATGTTATTTTTTCCATTTGATATTACATCCGTTTCTTTGTCCACCGTTTAATTGTAACCCAGTTTCAATCATAGTGACGTCTTGACTCTTGTATCGATCATGTATTTCCAAATCATCGTTCAACCACAACATTTTACCAGATTCTCTCGAATCTGGCCAAACAACGTTTAGTAAAGTATCGTTGGTACCATTTGGAGTTGGATTTCTAGTAAACAAGTAAATATTAATCGAAGTTTTCCACCTACGACATTGCTTGCTAATAGACAATCTATTTTGGATTCTAACCCGTATTTAATAAAATTCGTCCACAAACGTGTCATCTTTTTTTGTAACAGCGTCATCCTGTTCTTTACATTGGGATTTACTTGGAATAAATCTGAATAAAATATCATTTCTAATTCATCACCATGTGCAGCACCTATAACAATTAATTATTATGATTAATAAAAAAAAATAAAGGAAAAAGATTGAATAAGTAAAAAGTTACAAATTTTTCTTATTTATAGCTAAAAGATCAACTAATGATTTCTTATGGTACTATTATTATGAAACGGGCTCGGTACAGATATTAATATTTAAAAATCCAGTATCCAATATTATTTTTCATCAATTTTACATGTAAAACGATTTTTTGAATGTGATCATGTAAAAACTAGTGTCTACGAAGCACCTATATTTAATGAAAAATACCTCAGGAGAAAAATTCTTACTGACTGTGATCTCACCTAAAGATTTCCAGAGATTTTCGAATGGATGCAATAGTACTTCTAAACTTTAGAAAATTGAAAATACTTAATAATAAATTCATGATGATCCATGTAAAACACTTTTGATATTTTCCAAGTATCTAGGTAACTAATACTAATCTAAGTAACTGTCATCCTTTCTAGAGAGCTTTATAGGCAGGCCATGATGTTACTAATTATCAGTTACTCGATCAATAAAATACAGTCGTTCTATATATAACCTTGAATCGAGCTAGAACAACCCTCAAATCGTTGCAAACATCTTTCAAAGTTAACTTGTCGTTTTGATCTTTATATATGCGCGTATAAACTTGTTCTATTAGAGAAATGACATTTTTATTTTTGATTCTCATATTGCTTATTACTACTGTTTAATATAGTAATTAATTAGTTCATGTGGTGTCAACTTTCAAAGGATTAGATCCATTAAGACATAGGTGAGCAATTGTGACATACAAATGTGGAATAAACAGACAGATAGTAGCCCCGCAGTAGAGTTATTTGGTGGTGATATTTCGGAATAATGAAATTATATTTAGGAATAATGAAGGAAGGTGATATGCACCAATATTAGATAAGTAGGACATACCGAAAATGACGCATTTAAAGTTATTAGTCAACACCGTAGAAAAATGGATTACGGACACCCATTAAACAGAGTGTATGTCACTCTACGACACCAGATTATTTTTTCTCTAAGATCATGTAAATGATTGTCTACGAGACACCTGTGGTTAATGAGTACACCTCTTGGCAAAAATCCTTATATGCTGTTTTAAACATTTCCAGAAATGTTAGAATGGATCCAACATAGTCTCTGGTGCAGGCTATTAAACCTAAGGATTCATTGATGCTGGAGAATGCTACTTTTGATCATCTGTTATGAACGTATTTATCTCATCGTGTATGATATAATGGAATAGGAGGTAATAAATAAGGATCTATTATATAAATAAAAACTACGTTCTCATATTCAAGTATTAATTGATCGGAATATTTTAAGATCAGAATTTCTTATTCGATATTGCTGCTAGTATTCCTATTATTCATCTCTTAACTTTTAGTAACATCTAAGACTAATACTCTTAATGTATAAATCTCAAGCCATACATATACAATATATAAAATGGATATATAATAAAACTTACCATCCATATCAATGCCAAATAGAATTTTGTGTAGCGATTTGTTATAAAAGAAATCATATCGATAATAATAAATGGGGTCGTCGAATTTTGCCATTAATTTTTGCTTGTAATCAATAGGAGATACATATACAATGTCCGTAGCAGTCTAGAAAGTATTATAACAGAGTTTATTTATTCAAAATTAATTTAACTTACCTTTTTCTTAATTTAACTTACCTTTATGATTTGACGTAAAGTGGCATTCGTTATACCATCTTTTATATTTGGCATGTCGATTTTTGTAATTCCAAGCTGTAAAGCTTTTATCCAAATCAATTTTACACATTCGAAAGTATCTTCCATTGCTATAAAATTCAAAACAATAATATGAAGTTAATGTAAATAGAATGAATAGCAAGTATACTCACTATCTATGAATGAAATAACTTCGTCTTTGGTATAGCCTAACATATGAGATCCGTGATTATAATTTCCAGATCCGTATCTCTTTAACGAACATTCGGTTAAGAACCAATCTGGACCGTAATTTGGATTTTCCAGAGTTGGCTTCAAGGGAATATCCATCTAAAACATTGAACATATGAAAATTTCTATTAAATAGAAAAATAAATGGAATAATTTCTGAAAGTAATTTTTACTTTCGTTGTGTTTGAAATTGTTCTAGTCAAATTTTCTACATCGACTTTATAATAAAATTCAAGTAACTCCTCAACGTTCATTGCTGTTGAATCAAGTTCCTTAGCGAATTCGTAAGCTGTTTGTGTTGCATCTTCTGGAGTACTGAATGCATAGTAAGCTAATGACACCCCACTCATAGCGATTGAACTACGGAATAGACCTGTAATTAGAATGAAATGGAAGATAAGTTGAGTGTTAAATAAATTTTGATTTTGAGCGTAAAAGAAAATAATTGGATACCTTTCGATTTCTCTGAAAGTATATGAAAATCTACACTAACGCCCCCAGAACTTTCACCAACTATCGTTACTTTGTTTGGATTACCACCAAAGTTTGCTATGTTGTCGCGAACCCATTTTAGACCAAGATTTTGATCTTTTAGGCCTGCATTGCCAGTTGCATTTTGATGTTGCAACGCTAAAAATCCTATGCGAAATATTATTAAAACTGATTTGTTAATTTGCTCGTTATGTTATTACTTATTTAATTAGTATTTCATTTTAAAAGTGTTGATAATCGGCCAAAGCTATATGTCAGAATGATATAGTAATACCGAATTTTTTCTCCATTAACATATTTATTCTATCAACTATTCTTAATCGTAACTTTCGTTAAGTTAGTTGGAACTTAGTTGGACTAGATGTCTTGCTGTTTCATTGTTGTTATCTTATTAATGAAAGAATTAACGTAGTTACGCGTATATTCGTCGTCATTTTCTAAAAGCTTAGAAAAATTTGGATTTCATTTCTCAACATTAATTTTATCTACCGATTTTCCAATTACTGGATAAATTAGTTATCGTACCAAGAGCCCCCAACCGGTAATTAACAGTGACGACTACGATGTCTTCTTCGATCAGATAATCAGGAGAGAAATAAAATTTCGAAGCTGCCCCAACAACGAATGCTCCTCCATGAATCCAATACATAACAGCTTTAAGATTAGTGTCTTTCCCATCATTAGGAAGCTATTGTAAAATAAAATTTATTAATCCAATCAAAATAAGTGACTATTATGATTGTAATCCCTATGGGTTAAAATATTATAAATGAGTAGTGTAGTAATATTCTTTTACTTAATGATCGTAAAAGTGGAGAAATATTTCTTGCTATTAATTTAACATGGCATTATGAATGGATATGATAATACACTTTGTTATGCAGATTGTTTACA